GCAGTCCGTGGTCCTCCTCTGCCCTCACTCCAACAGCTCCACGTCCCTCTTGTGCTGTTGCCCCAGAGCTGGATCAGGGCTGCAGGGAGGGTCTCCCTCGACCTGCTGCTCACGCTCCGGGGTGCAGCCCAAACCCTCCTGCTAGAGGGGTGCCCAGCAGAGATCCCCCCAGCCCCACACCCCTTCCCAGCCACCCAGCCCCGGGGGGTTCTGCTCCCAGCACAGCAGCTTTCTGCACAGTGGCTCCTGCCTCTGCACCGAACGAATATCCACAACCTTCCCAGGCAGAAACGAGCCAAAACACTTCTGACCATGGCTCAGGGCAGATAAGGTCTTGTCCAAAGCAAATAAACGAACCTACCCAACATTACATATTCCATTAAGTATTAGGAAATAGCACATTTACTTTCAGATAAGCACCAGCAGAGCCAGCCCGCGCTCTGCTGGCAACACAGATCTGCTGTTTACTGCTTGCTTTAACAGCCTGCCTTGGCAGGGGGGTGGCCCTGGTGACCTGAAAGGTTGTTTCCACTTCTAAGTGCAACAACCCTGACATTTTCTCTTTTCCCTTTGCCATGGTTGCACTGACAGATAAAATCAAAGCACGAGAGACAGCTCATCACAGGACAGATACAATCTGGCTGGGAATGCAGGATCTGCTTTTCCTTTTATCCCTAGATGACCTCATTTTATCAGAGAAATTCACCTGCAGAAGTCCTGCACACTGGCACAGGGACACATCCAGCCTGCCACAAGTGTCATCTCCTGTCACTGTGGCACTGGTGGCCAGCTCAGGGTAACTAATGCATCCCTCCCTCTGAAGAGTTAACATGAAATACACTGAAAACCATCACTAAAATGTGTTATAGGAAGAAGCTGAGTCTCTCAAATTCCACCCTGCTGTAAGAACGAGTCCCCATAGCCCAGCTCATCTTTTCACAGCACCCACAAAGAGCAGGAAGGAGCTGCAATAATCCACAGTACAGAACATCCCCTGCAGCTGAGCTGTGCAACTACTTCTGGCTGCAGAGCTCCAGGGCTGGGAGCACGCAGGGCACAGGGGGCTTGGACCCACACTGCTGCCTCCTGCTCCCTGGCATCCCCACCACGCCTTTGCCAGCCCCACACTTTGCCTTCAGTGGACACTGTCCCACCTTTACAGGCAGCACAAAGTTTTCTAGCTGAGGAAGATCATGCCTGGGAAGTCAGCTCTTCTGTGGACATGCAGCTGATCCTAAGGGCATCCCAACACACCAGGGTGCAAGCACAACCTCCCAGAGATCCCAGATTTGAGCAGGAAACAAATGGTTCTGTATGAGGCAGGTTCATGCAGTCCCCAGCCCTGCCACACACTTCATTCCATTCTTCCCTCAAGCCCAACCGTACCTGGTTCTCCAGCAAGACCCAGAAACCTGTTGCAGAAAATGAGTTTACATTTCAAAGGGGTTTTGAGAAGAGCTCATCTGGAGACTGCAGAGACCTGCAGTAACCAGGAAATGAGCATTCCCCAAATGTGGCACATCAACCTGCACTATTGTTTGTACAAATCTGAGTCATGGCCATCCTCGCTCCCTTAGCAATAAAGTGAACATCAAAGCAGGGGTCACAGTATTAGCACCCCCAGCAAAGCATCATGCATGAGAAGGGAAACACGTCATGGATGGGCCCAGGGACACACGTGGGCAACAGCCACAGCAGCAACACTTAACACTGTCACACTTCATGCTTTTATTATACCCCTGATGGAAAGCCCCTGCCGCCAGTCTCCCTCCAGCTCTGAGGTCTCTGTGAGCTCCCACAGAGACCTCAGCACAAGGCTGTGACACTGTGCTCTCCTCTGGGCCTGGGGTACGGCTCTTGCTTTTATCTTTGACCCAGAGTGGGAAGATGATACTAACCAAAAGCCCCAAGGCCTCTGCCATTGTTCTGAAAACACGAGGGACTCCACTGCAGCACAGCAGGGCTAAGGGCAAGGATTCAATAGCACTAGAAGGAACATGTTTAACTCTACTGGGTGCTCTGAGCAGTGTTTTCAGCACATCAGCAACTTACCCACAGTCGCGTTGTTCTCTTGATAGACAGGTCTCAGCAGCTGTAAGACACAGCCCAGAAAGGACAGAGTCACCTGAAGTAGGCTTGAGGCAGACTTGACAACAACCAACTGCAAATGTTAGCATGACAAACCCAGCAAAGCCAAAGCACTCCAGAGGTGAACATCATGTTTGCCCTATGGCCAGCAGAACAGGAGAACACTGACTTGCACTGTGGTCTATGCAATGGAAACATTTCCCATATCCTCACCCCTTGATTGAGTCCTGAGAGGAGGCTGCAGGTCATTCACCCCATCTCTGCAGTCCTGGTTTAAGAGGTTTAGGAACATAGTGAAAGCTCCACCAAGGTACACAGGTCTGGCTTGTAAAAATGACATGTGCTCTAGAAACATTTAGAGATGATGCTCAGTAAGACCGAAGCAAGAGAGGGGGCAGCAAGCACAGCCAACAGCCACATGCGCTAACTGGAATGTGGGGTTGGAGAGCAGCCCTACCTGGCTGCCGGGGTTCAGAGGGGCTAAGATGATGTAGTTGTGGTCTGCAGCAGAAGGCACCCGGGACAGGGCTGGCATGGTGCTCTGGCCCCGCTTGCCGAGCTCCGTGTACCTCTCCCAGCTGTTCAGCACCAGCCCGTCGCTCCCATCGTAGAGGACGTGGCAGCTCCGGCGCTGCTCAGGCCGCGGGGGCACGGTGCTGTTCTTCTCCCGCTTGTTGGGTGGTGACTGGAGGTCGAAGGCAGACTTGCAGGATGACCTGCGGATCATGCCTTCGTGTCCCGACCTCACCTGGGGCACCAGCCGCCACACCAGCAGGATGATTTCAGTGGGACAGTTCCTGGAAGGGATGGCACGGGGCAAGTCAGGGATGGAGCTGTAGGGAGTGAGGCCCCTGCATCACTCAGCCATGAGCCCTGCAGTCCTTCCTGCCTCCAATGCCTCTGCCCTCTTATGTCCTGCCCTTCCCAGCCCCTGCACCCTTTCTTCTACTCCAGAGAATCCCTTCCCAGTCTCCTGCACCCCTCCAAGCTTCTTCCCACTCAAAGCTCCTGCTGCCCTGCCCTGGAGCTCTGACTGGCAGGGCACTGCTCTCAAACCATCTCTCCCACAGCCCCGCAGTGATGCTTTTGGGGAATACTCACCGGATTTCATGTGCCAGCTCTACACACTTCCAGTGCTCCACAGGCTGCTCATTCAGCTGCAGCACTGTGTCAAGTTGCTGCAGACCTGCCTTTTCTGCTGGGCCACCTAAAGAGAAGAGACAAATGCCAGTCGCCCACAGTTTCCTTTAACACCCACATCTGAAATGGGGTCAGCCAGCCTGGAGCTTCATCTTCCAGTGTGCAAGCAGACACAGAGCGCATGGGACAAAGTCATAAATGCTCTCTCAGAGCTATTGCATGAACTTCCCATGCTTCCTGGTGTGCAGTGGGGAGCACCAGGGCACAACAGAGACACCAAGTGCATCCTGCAGATCCACACCAAGGGCTTTACTCAGGTAACTGAAGGCTTCCTGATCCTGCTCCCCTCTGTGTCCCTATCTGACACCCCCCATAGATGCTTTCCATAGGTTTCCCAACCAGCCAGTTCTCAGGTTAGAGAGTGAACAAAACCTCTGCAAATGACTGCAAACACTGCCAAAATAGTGACCCAGCACTAACCCAGTGGCCTCTGACCTCATCAGAGTCACCAAAGAATTCACTAAGTGAAGTATCTTGGAGGTAACCGGGGTCCTGCAAGGCACTGGAGCTTCTGAATCACAGCATGCTCCGGGAAGCAAAACAGCAGCAGAGTCATCCTTCACATCAAGAGGGATAACAGTGACCTGCTCTCTTACCCGAGTCCACTGCCTGCACACGGACAGGGGAGTCACAGCAGATGGTGAAGCCAAACCCATCACTCCCTCGAGGGATCGTGATCTGAAAGAGACACCGGAGTCACTGTCAGGTAGGAAAGAGCTGCTGTGTGTAGTCAGTGAGCACCCGCCTGACCCACACCCTGCCTGAGGGGCTGTCACAGTGACCACTGTCACCCTGTGAGCCCCATGGACACTGGGTCTCCTCTGCTGCAGCCAACAGGGTGGAAAGGGTGCTAAAAGCAATGCAAAATCAAGCTGAGGAGCTATGGAGTGCTGTACAATATTGTTTATTGAGAGCACACAAGTCTCCACTCGAGACTCCTGCAAGGGTAAGGAAAGGTCTGATAAGCCATTAGGAAGGGAAACCTGGCAGCTTGGCTCTGATGCTGGTTTCCAACACAGCTCCTCTACACAAGTCACTTAAACATTTCATTTCCAGAAATAGCAGCGGGCTCTGTGGATGTTTTCTCTCACTGCATCTGGAGAGGATGGATGCTGTTGATTTCGATTCATTTCTCCTCCTGATTCAAGAGCCATTGAGCTTATTACTACAATGATATTTATTTTGTGATGCTGGCTCCCAGCAGCATCTCAGCAGGGCGGTTCCTGTAAACACCTGATTATCCCCCAAGACATTTGTCAAGATCCTTGTTTTACTGACAGGGAAAAGAAAAGAAAAATCCAATGTCTGACCTCTATTATTTTGAGAACAAACAGCCAGAGAAAAGATGAAGAATTCAGCAGAAGCTGCCAAGGAAGGAACTGGCTCCTCACTCCTTTACCACGGAAGGGTAAACGCAACAAGCTTCCATTTCCCTGCACCTCATCCCTGTGTGAATGCTCAGCATAAAGCCAGGCTTCAAAAGAGAAAACTTTTTCCCTGGCAGGATATAAAACAGATCTAGTCCCCCTACACCAAGTATTCTTCTCTGGAGTTTGCTGGATTCTCAGACAGGGGAGGAGGCTGCTTGTGGCTCTGCAGCTTTGAACCAACCTCACATCTCAAACACAAAGCACAGGGATGTGAGTTCTGTGTTACCACCTCAGGAGCCAGCCCAGCATCTCTCCCACCACAGAGACTTCACAGTCACTTCCCAGCCCAAAGCTTCCCCCATGATGAGAGGGCTCCTGCTCCTTCTCCTTGAGCTGCTGCCTCTTGTCTACCACCAGTGGACACTTCCCTGTGCTGCTGAACAGTGGCTCCTCACTGCTGATGGTTCCCTTTCCTCAGCTCCCGCCACCTCGGCCATTACAAGGAGCTGAATGGCCATTTTTGCCACTGTGCACAGAAGTAATATGAGCATCTGGCAAGCTGAAAGGTGGGTGGGAAGGTGGTGAGAGACTGCAGCACCACAGGGGCTCATTGTAGCCATAAAACTTTGTCAAAAATGCAGAAGAAGTTACAAAAATAGAGACTTGAGGAGATTTAAGACACAAATCACAGTCCATTGGCATTAATACAAAGCAGAGCAGCCTTCCTGCATGAGATGGTCACTACAGCCCCAACAAGAAGTGGGCATTTTCAGTTCAGCTGGTTCTTTGTGCAATGCCCAGTATACACTATCCCCCACAGCACCTTTCCCAACATGGAAGATCAGCACAAGAGTGCAGAGAAAAGCTGACCATGAATCAGGATTCCCTGTACAGACCACAGAGGGAAAATTGTGTTTGAAAGTGCAGGAGACTAGGACCTACACAAGCGAAACCAGCACAAGGCATCGCCCACTGAGCAGGTCCAGGACAGCTTCCACCAGCATTCACAGCAATCTGCTTCTCATAAAGCAAGTCCCTGTCGGGTGCAAACAGCTTCAAGCAACCCTTCATTCCCAAATACATTCACACTAAAACAAGTTTTAAGAGAGAGAGCAGCAGCCTGGCAGAAACTTGGCTGCAGCCATGCCTGCCTCATCTCTAATGAGTGGTGAATTGAGACACCACCTCACAGCTCAATGCTTCCACCATCATAGAATCATAGAACAGTTAGGGTTGGAAAGGACCTTAAGATCTTCTAGCTCCAACCCCATTATCCTCACGTTACACAGTAAATGCTCCTCGTCTGTCCCCATTTACATACTGAACCAAGACATCAGCAGAGACACCTACCTGAGGATGCTTTCCATGTGTTCCCTATATCATAACTTACAAACTATAACAACAGCAAACCAGCACCCTGGAATCAGCACACACAGCCCAGGAATGGCAAGAAAGCTCACAGACACTCCTAAACTTAGCCAAGACTTGCACACACACTCATGCTGGCACATGGATTCCTTCCCATGGGAGACACAGACCTGCCTGTATCTCCGCTCCGAGCACACCTTGCAGAGTCCATTGAAGCGGTTCATGGCTGGAAACCCTCAACTTGCCGTTAGCCCATGAAAATCCAGTCCCCTGGAGCAGGCGTGATCCCGAGCTCCTCGTATCACACGAGTGTGGAACAAACCACAGGCAAACTGGCATGACCGCCCATGGGAACCCAGCTCCAGAGAAGAATGGCAGGAAGCCACCTTTCACCTCCCCAGCCCCTGTCTGTGCTGTATGCCGCTTGACGATAAGCCAGAGGGCTTCCTGAAAACCCTAACTGACAAGGAAGAGAGAGAGTTTTATATTAAGATTCCTGTCAACTATTGAGTATTCCCTAGTCCCTGCTCTGTTGATGGGGCTTTTGTTCCCGCAGCATTCTTCAGCCGCACGGAGCACTTTGTTATTGCAACATTCTCACAAACACTTGGAGGATGTTTGAGCGGCGTTTCACAGGCTCTGTGAGCTTTGCTGCACTAAAGAGAGGAGTTGTGCTCATTGCAGGCATCAGGATAAAAGAGGGTTTAAAGGGGAAAAAGCAAAAGCAGAGTTTGTTTTTGAAAGCACAGACCCAGAGGATAAGCACGTCCTGATGCTTTGTGCTCACAGAGTCATAAAGGAGGAAGCAGAGAGGTCAGTTCACTTGCACCCATGGTGTAATTTTGGAGTTAAAGAGAAACTCTTCACACAGGCAGCAGCAGGGCACAAAGCAGGATTTGGTGAGTCTGCACTGCACAGCCCTGACTGCCAACATGCAGCACAACCCCATGGAGGTGGGTTTGCAATGGAGAAGAAAGCACCTTCCCCACTGAGACATGGGGATGGAAACGAGAAAAGGCTCAAGGGACTGAGACCCTGGGCTCCCTGGGGTGGCAGGGCCAGGGGGCTGGGAGGGAGCACAAGGGGCCCCAGCGCTCCCAGTGGACGCTGCCCAGGGCTGCTCTGGGCGCATTGTCCCAGCGGCAGCACCACCAGGCTGGAGCTGGATGGGATCATTCTTCCTTCCCAGCCACCATGTCCCAAGCCGTGGCGCTGCCGGGGAGGAAGGGAGGAGAGGGGCGCTGGCTTTGTTTGTCTTGCTCAATCCTACGCTTTAAAGCAAGTAACTGAAAATGCAGCTGAGGGAAGCAGCAAAGCGGAATTCGACACAGATAAATCACGGGGCCAGCCGAGCCCTGTTTCCGATGCAAGCCGTGTGTTTGTGTTCCCATTTCCCATCCTTGCCTTCCTATAAATCACCAAGGCTCCACTGTGGGCCTTTCCCTTCCCAGAGCAAACGGCCCTGAAATGAGAAGAGGAGCAGATACACCGGTCCATGGAGACATGGAGCCGCCAGGGACCGATGCCATGTGACAGACAGCTGGCCAGCCCTGTCCCCATTGCTCCCAGCTCCCATTGCTCCCAGTCAATGGCTTCTGCTTTGTCTCTGTGGCAATAGACTGGAAAAACAGCTTGTCCCTATATGGGAATGGAGAGTGAGTGTGGGGTTACTACGCACATCACCTACCTCCACCTCAAATGGGATAACTAACTTCCTATAAAAGCCATGGTGTCAACAGGGAGACTCCCACAGCTCCCACCTCACTAATGCTCTGACCTTTGGCTCATTTGCCACCCATCCCTGCCTGCTCTGCTAACAGCCAGCTCCCTACCCCATGTCTTCACAGCCCTGTCATACCTACCTTCAGCTGCTCCATGGTCACATCGTCCTGGCTTTCCTGTGCTGTGCTCTGACTTCCCAGCATGGGCTCTTAAAAAGAAAAAGGGAAAGGCCTTTCAGTCTGACAACACACATGTCCTGACAATCCCCTTCTTTCCACACTGCATCTATATACTCCACAGAAGATCTTTACATGTGATGGGCACATCTCCTCCAGGCTGGGGCAGCCCTGCATGGCAGCAGCTGTCGTGTGGCTGCACATCTGGGACAGGCACTGCTGTCTCCAGTCTGTGCCTCCTCCACACACCCTGGCAGCACAGCAAGACCAGGGCAGGAGAACAAGCTCCCCACCACCCTGCACAGACCCCAGAAGCCAAATAGTCTGGCAATGGGATTCAGTCCCAAGTCTGAGAGGCAGAAATCAGCATGATGGAAGGCCAAGAAAGAGGGAGAGAAGTGGCTGCAATATTGGGGTCCCCACAGAGCCCCAGACAGCCCCAATAAGCAGGAGTGAGGACTGAAGGGTAAAACTCAGT